CCAATTCCGGTTTATGTGACTCCTAGAGATATAGCTTGAATATGGTTGGTCTCTTCATTTTAAAGTTACCAAGAGCATCTCAGCACCATTTGGATATTATCTCAACAAAGAGATAACTCGAAAAAGAGAATATTTATCCTAAATTCATTTTTAAGAAGGGTTGAGATGCGTGTATTTAATGATCATGATCTAGTACTTTTTTATTATATATTTACCGCACTTACAATTTGATTTTTTATTGCATATATAACATTTATTGGTGTTCTTTCAAGTTTTGAAATCTCCTATAACTAATCTATTATTCAAAAAAATATATGCCCATTCAATTTTCCATTACTATTAATGTCTACTTCGTTATTTTATTAAAGTAGATTAAGCTTCTAGGCTTTTAGCATATCCGAAAATATTTTTTTTTTAAATTATTTTAGGTATTTTTCTTTTATTTTGTTACCATAAAATGGTGAATATGAGACTGAACTGTTCTTGTGTGAATTTTTGTTATATTATTATAACAAAAACATAAATTATATGATTAATTAGTAGATATATACTCTTTATTTCATTAGATTCAAATATAATTAAATTATGATGAATATATAAATTTTTATTCACTTGCATTTAATGGCAATTGTCCAATAACACTAACAAATATTAATAACTCTTTACAAATTTTAATTTATTTTATTTATTAGTCATCCCATCTCAGCACGACTTGTGCACATGGTCCAAAATTATGAACATTGCAAAATTTATAGATTGATTGTATGACTAAAAACTTAGTAATTTTATATTAAGAAAATACATAATATATTAAAATATATACATTTTTATTTTAATATATAATTTAATCACTGCATGATTTTTAATGCACATTCTTTCTAGCTATAGTACTAAATTAACAAATTAAAGAATTCCACCGGAGCAAAATAAATGTTCATATTGATAGTTTCCTTTTCTTAACAATTATACTTTACATATTACCTTTCGTTCATTAATCAAATGCCTTACAAATAGGGTTGTCAAATTCGGGGTCGAGCGGGTCGACACCCGGAACTGACCCGGCACTGTTCGGGTCAACCTGAACCCGACCCGTTTTTAAAAACGGGTCAGGTTTCCGGACCCGAACCCGACCCGATTCAGGTTTGGGTCAACCAGACCCGACACGAATGACCCGGAATTGCTAGTTTTCGGCTCAAAAATCGGGTCAATCTTCATTTTTCGTGTCAAAATCAGGTAAAAAACGGGTCAAACTCAAATTTTCGGGTCAAATATCAATTCTCGTGTCACTTTCGGGTCAATTTCGTGTTTCCATGTCAACCCAAACCCGACCCAATTTTTAAAACGGATTGATTTCTTCAACCCGAACCCGATCCGTTTCGGGTTTGGGTTGACCCGTACCCGGATTTTTTCGGGTCGGGTTCGGATCGTGTTTCGTGTCGTGTCAAAAATTGACACCCCTACTTGCAAACAAAATAAACTAAATCAAAAGCCTCAAACAACTGAGTTCGAAGAATAAATCTCCTAATTAAAGGTAACGATCATTCATGACATCAGAAATCAAAACAATAATACTTTTAAATCATTTTCTTGTTGTACAGATTCTTTACTATACTGGCAGCCAAGTCAGACCCATGCTTCACTCCACCATATTTAGGAATAATTTTCTTACTATTCTAAAACAGCTTTTCAATACAAAAGTTTTTCTCTAATTTTTTTTAATAAAAATCTGATTTAAAAAATTGAAAAAATATAATAATCTCAAACGAAACCTTACTGCAAGTTGTAAATATTCAACCATAAATAAGAAGACAAAAAAAAGATTATAAATGGATTAACTTAGACTTTATTTGGGACGACTTTCTTATTATTTTTTAAAATAATTAAAATTTAATAATAATAAAAAATATCCAAAAGCTATTCGAAACAAAGCCTTAGCTATTCTCTTTTTAAGTCCATTACTAAAAGATGAACATAAAAAGAGACATAAATTGGTGGGATTTATATGATTATTACCATATAACTATGGGAATTGAACACCACATTTTAAGGTTAGTTTTACACTGGACAATCTTTCTTGCATCTATTTTTCAATAATGGTGAGAGAAATATTGAGGTTTAACACAATCATATTTGTAAGTTGATATGTTATAGTGTACAGAATATGCAAATCAATTAATCGAAAAACTCCAATAAAGGAGACTAAGAATTGCCCATTTTTCATCAGCAAAATGATATAAAGGATGATAGTGCATGCAATACGTTTGGTTTTTGGTCTGAAGAAAAAGAAGAAGAAGAAGAAGAAGAAGAAGAAGAAAAAGATGATGATGAAGATACCGTTGCTGCGGCTGTTGACGAATTATCAAAATGAATACAAGTAGTATGAAACAGCAATGAAATCGGTTGCCTGCATTTAGGCCTTCCAGGATCACCTTGCGACATTTGCTTGGGCATATCATCATAGCCCCTTCAAGTAAGAAGACATTTACAACAAAACATTATGATATAACTAAAAATGTACTGATATATACAAGTAACAACAGCAAGGCTTAATAAATATGTTGGCATTTTCATTCATCTGAGATTAAGTAACAAGATAAGTTGTAGTTACTAAAACGTAGCATGTGGTAGAGTCCCTTAAAAAAGTAAATCTTCATTAAAAATGCTTGTACACGGCTAGCTCAAAGAGTCAATTAAATGAAAACACCAGTAAAAACTTTTAGAAGGCTCTAGCAGACCAAACAAACAGAATGAATAAGACTCAGACTTGCACTATTTAGATCATCATATTCATTTAAGAAATAGAATGTACGCAATAGCTGTCTTTGGGCATTATTGTGATCTGTTGAAATAAACTTCGAGGAACACATTGTTGAAGAAACAAAATCAAGGCAGAGGAAAATCGGTTGCCAATATTTTGACCTCGCCAAGCTACTTGGGCGTATCATCATAGTTATAAGACATGGGCTCAGAACATTAAGATTGAACAACAAATTTACATGTAAACTCAGACTAGCTGAAACAAAACAACGGATGTGATGCAAAACTAAATATGAAATGATTTTAGTTCATTTAGATTTTGCACAACTCTTGATTAGAATAGTCAGAGAACAAAACTAGAAGCAGTTTAAAACAAAGAATCAAGAAAATTGAGGGGTCACACCCGTTTAGGCCAAATTACATAGCAAGAGATTTGAAACCAACAAAATAAAATAAGAAAACAACACAATGACGAATAGTAGTTTCAAAGAAATCCCTAATCTAACAATAAGAGTTAATAAGCAAAGAGGTGCACTCAAGCCCTACGTTTACTAAGCTTTAGCATGAGCAGCAGGAAGTCGTCCTTCACGACTGTCATCAATTCCCAAAAAAGTTAGATTTAGGAAAATATAAGGAAAGGAGAAAGAAAAACCTTTGTCAAGAAGTGGTGGAGATCCTCCACTCGACGCCTTTGAAGTGCTCGTCGATTGCTTCCACTAAGGTGTTCAGAATACGTTCCAAGTAGTCTATGACAATAAGATCGATCCTAGGATTCACGTTGAAGAAAGTTGATCGGAGGATGTCGGTGTACCCGTCTTCGTCCCAAGTTAAACCGTACTCAGTTTCTAGATCCGCCATTCATAGGTGCTAAGTGGCAAGGTCTTCAAGGAAACTTGCTCTCTTTAATAATGTGTCGAGAAAGAAGTTTCTCGACTCCGAAGAGTAGAGTAGAGATATGAGCAACCCCCCTTTCAAAATATGAAATTGTATTTCAGATTTTTGAAAACCTAATGAAGACGATTCAATAAGGAGATTTTAACTTCAATTTTGGGAAACAAGAAGAGCTCAAAACCTGTAGTATTCTCAGGTTTTACGTTGGGTGAAGCTTAAGATTTGAAAACAATTCCAAGAGAAAGAGAGAGGGAGTGGGCGGCGGCAAGGGTGAGGGGAGAGCTTTAATTCAATTCCAAAAAGGGAGATTTCTTTATGGAAATAAATTAAATTGGTGGGAATAGGGGATTTTCGGCCAAGGGAGATTGAGGAGGAATTAGGAATTGTTTCCGAGAGAGTTTGAGAGGGATTTAGGAAATAAATCCCCTAGGATTTATTGGAGGGGGGCCGGCGGCTTTCAAGAGCAAGGAGGGGATTGGGGAGAGATTTGGGGTTGCCTAATTTGGGATTTAGGATTAAGGAAAGAAATAATTAAATCCAGTTTGAATTTAAAATTCAAATATGATAAATTTTATTAACTTTCCAAAAATAGAATTGGTAAATTTGGAAAGATTTCAAATTTCCAATTAAAGGAATTTGAATTTCAAAATATGTCCCAAAATATGTCCCTCCAAATTAGGCAAAGGAATTCAATGGGGGGAGGGGAAGTGGGGGCCTGCGGCTATGCAGTTGGAGCCGACGGCATGGGGGCTCGGGTTAGGGGTTTTGGCCGTGGGGTTGGAAGGGGAGAAGGGGGTTCGGTTGAGGGGGTTTTGCCGCGAGTTTGAAATGAGCAAGAGGAGCTCGGGTGTGGTGGGTTGGCAGGCAATGGAGGTGAGGGCAGGGAGGGGGAAGAAGGGGAAGAGAATCAAGGGCCACCGGTGGTGACTATTGGGTACGACGGGTGGCCTATCCTACGCTCCACCAAGCTCTCTCATAAGCTCCAAGAAAACAGGTGCAAAAAATTCATAATCATTCATTCATCAAAACATCAAACAAAAGGCTATAAATAGCCAAGTACAATGGACTCAAAGAAATAAAAGACCAACTTGCCTTTTGGGCTCACACACGACAATTCCCACTAAAGGGGTACAAACGGAAAAACCAAAATGACACTAAGCAAATAGAAAAATACATAAATAATAAAATAACATAGATGACTCAGAAATATAAAGACTCGATTGTGGCCGTAGATCGGCGGCCACGCCTTTGATAAACCTTCCACGATCTGATGTCCCCATCAGGATGCGATGACAATAGCATGTATTGGCAGAGGGGATGAAATAGATTGAGCGCGCAACTGTTGTAATAAGAGAACTTACTGGTCCTTCATAAAAGAAGAATAATAACTGTGAAGCGCCTAGAAAATAGGCTGTATTAGTCATTCAGCCTTCTGAAATCATCACCGAAGCATAATAGCACCTAACCTGGTGCCATTTGCAAGATTTACATGCATACCTCAAATTCTTATCTATTTACACACCTAACACCTATATCTTTCCATTTACTTAGATAACACTGAAATAACTAAATCATATAAAAACTAACACTAATATTAACTTATTAAAAGTAAAACACATATTTTCATGGCTATGCTTTAATGTAATTTAAATATTAAAATGATAAATTAGTTAATAAAAAAATTGGAGCTCTTGTCAAACTCGTCAAAGAGCATGAAAAACAAGGACATCATAGCTGCTAAATCACCATTATACTAACAAATTTGCTGAAAAACAGAATTAAAAACGCTGTTAACTTTCATCAAAATGACGAACTATAGGGAGATCTATACAAATTCCTATCCATTAAGTTTTCATGTATCGTCCTAAGAGTTTTTGACCACCTACAGATGTCTCTCATCTTTGTCTTTTCTTATATCATCAGACAGAAATATCACAGGCAAATATACATATGATTAATACAACTCCATGGCATTTTCATAAAAAAGAACTCGGGAACCTGAACTGAAGTAATTGTAACTCGTCTGAGCATTACATGAGTATAAGAGATTATCCCTGTTTTGGGGTATTGTGGCCCAAAAGTCATTTTGAAAGATTTTAGCCCAAATAAAAATATATGGGGAATATTCGTCTAGGAGCATTATGAAGGATCGATAGTCAAATTTTACAAAAAGAATAAATATCACAAATAGACACAAATTCCCTTTGATGCATCATTAAAAAGGTGTTCTCCAGCAAACATAGTTAAAAATAGAGCGCATAACCATTCGAAAGCAACGTCTGGTTCACAAATCCAGATGCAAAGCAACTATGAAAAAAAAAACAACAAACTGCAAATGCACACAGCCTGCAGTAAGTTCTCCACTAAATAACCATCAAACAAATCTCAGTTGCAACCAAACAGCCCAAAGACTATTTTCATATCTCATAGAGGAATTAAGTTAATGTGTCATACATTAAAACAATAGGTGAAAGTAATTGAGCATAAGTTACGACATGATACTAATGTTTCTCAAACTCCATTTGGATTCATGTTGCGTATGTCCACCATAGAAGCTATACATTTAGTGAGAGGTTTGATAGAAAAATATAGAGAGAATAAGGAGGATCTATATATGATATTTACTGATTAAGAGAAAGCATAAGATAAAGTTTCAAGATAAGTGCTTTGAAAAGTTCTTAAAAAGAAGTTAATAAAGCTTATATTTAAGTTAAAGGATATGCATACAGGAGCTGTTACTTGTGTTCAAACACAAGGATGTTTGACCAAATATTTTTCCTATTTCAGCTGGATTACATCAAGGAGCAGATTCAAGCCCATATCTTTTTGCTTTAGACACAAATTTCTTACTAGACATTTGCAAGAGAATCTATACTGCTGTAGGCTTTTTGCTGCTGAAATTCTTCTTGTTCATAAGATGAGAGAGGGAATTCAAGAAAAACATGAATTATGGAGGCTAATTTTAGAGTCCAAAGGTTTTCATTTAAGTACCTAAAATTTAATACAAGAAGTTTAATTTTAACAGTAATAGGTAAAATTTGGGCGCTGAAGTCATTAAAAAAATACAAAATTTAGATATCTCGTGTCTATTGTTTAAAGTGATGGTGAAGTAGACGGGAATATTATTGTTTAAATTCAAGTTACACATTTGAAGTGGAGGAATGCTTGGGCTTGTTGTGTGATAGAAAAGTACACCTCAAACGTAAGGAAAAATTCTATAAAATGATAGTGAGACCTGAAATGCTTTATATTGCAAAATATTGATCATTAAAAGAGAAGCATCAAATTAAGTGTTGCAGAGATAAGGATG